AGGACCCAACAGAAAAGAGGCAACAGGAAGTACAGTGTCTGGATTGCACAATTCAAAGCAGTATGGCAGCCTGGGCAGAAGTAATAAAAGAGGTCTAGGGGTGCAGCTCAGTGGTGGAGCACTTACCTAGCATGTGTAAGGTCCTGGGTTTGGACCCCAGCCAAAAAAGGGGGGAGGGGTCAAAAGAAAGGATGTAGATAATAGGACTTGAGTTTTGTAACTGCATATGCCTCATATGTGTAGATGTGTAGAAATAAAGTCCTGGAGAATATCCTACAGTATAGACACAGCAGTGATCCTGGGTCATGGTTTGATTTTTTTTTTTTTTTAATATACTTCTCCCCTTTTTTGGTTATGAAGTATTTTTTTGGTTCTGGGGGTGTGTGGAAGTGAATTATACTCTGGGTCATATTGGCTATGAGTTCACATGAGGGAAAATTCCTTGGCAAATTCAGATAATTTTGTGGTTTTAAATTTAGATATCATTCAGAAGGTAGTTTAATCATAAAAGATTGGGAAAACAGTTCTGAAGAAACTGATTCCTTCCTAGTGTAGTGGCACATGCCTGTAATCCCAGCTCTGGAGGCTGAGTCAGGAGGATTGTGAGTTCAAAGCCAGCCTCAGCAAAAATCAAAGCACTAAGTGATTCAGTAAGACCCTGTCTCTAAATAAAATACAAAATAGGGCTGGGGATGTGGCTTTTTGGTGGAGCGATCCTGAGTTCAATCCCCGATACCCAAAACACAAGCAAACAAAAAAAGAAAATATTTATTCCTCCTAATATTTATGTTGGAAGGAAATATGATTAAACTCTATGTAATAATGGAATATTCACTGCCAAAGAACTGTACTATGAAAAGTCCCACAAACCAAATAGTTGAAAGCATACAAAGAAGTCATTTTCAGAAACCAGAATTAGCACAAGATGACTCCTAATTTAGAGATTTGTGATTCAAGTAGCCAGGAAGCTTGTTTTTCAGAATGGAAAAGAGAATAAAGACAATTTACAAAAGGTAAGGCCATAGTTCGTGATGGAAGGTCCATGAACTTATTTCAGATATTCCAGTGTGGTAAGGTTTTTCTTTCCTTTTTTTTTTTTTTTTTTGGTGTGTGTACTGGGGATTGAAACCAGGGATGCTTAACCACTGAGCCATATCTCCAGCCCTTTTTATTTTGAGACAGGGTCTCACTAAGTTGCTGAGGCTGACTATGAACTTGTGATCCTCCTATCCAACCTCCCAAGTTGCTGGAATTACAGATGTGTGCCACTGTGCCTGGCTATGATATTTCTTGTATTCTAGAGTAGATCAGGAAGGTATGAGGGCATAGAATCTGCCTGGGGCTGTCAGAACAGGATGGGCACCTCCCTCCCACTCCCTTTAACAAGACAACTGAATTTTAAGGGGATAGGCATCTTGCAAGACCAAGCTAGACCTCTTTATGGTAGAAAAGTTTGGGCTGTGATAACTTCCTGGGTGAGAAAATACTAGACATAGGGAAAGGATATTGCTGAGGGAAGCCTCCTCAATAAACTGTGGACAAGAGCTTATTGTCCTCTGATGCTTAGAATGAAGAAGGGACAGCATATTCATTAGATACAAACCAGGATCCTACTGTCTGAGCCAACAGCCATGAGTCCTATGTGTGGTGCAGATAGATGATTACCCTTACACCATGGAGACACATCATGTCACAGCAGTCCATGTCTGGCAGTCAGGATTGTTGACTCCCTTTTTTGGCAGCCAGAGCACTGTATGGTGGTTTTCACTGCTTTACAGTGGTGATATCAAAATGTGACTTCTGTGGGTTTATTAAAAGATTCAGAGAAAAGAAGACATGAGGTGGCATTGAGTCTTGGGATTCTTGAAGTTTTTTTTTTTTTTTTAATATTTATTTTTTAGTTCTTGGCGAGACACAACATCTTTGTTGGTATGTGGTGCTGAAGATGACCTGCAGCAGGTGTGGGAAATGTGGCGTTGGGGAGGAGAGAGCCCCACCTTG